AAAGGCTACATCTAACGATGGTAAAATGAAGTATATTTTTCTTCTTAACTTTTCTGATGAAGTATATTATCCCCACAAATATCCTTTGGTTCCGATTGTACTTACAACTAACATGGCCAAAAGGGTTGTGAGTATATACTTTTAATTATTCAGTGAATACTCTGACAGAAAATATAAATTGAGGACCATAATTTGATAATGGGAATCGTTTAAGAGCTCTCTAGGTACTTTAATGTTAAGAAATTCTTGTGTTTGGTTTATTTTACCCCTCATTCTGTCAACACTAACAACTAAATTTCACAAAAGTTCACTTTTTTTTTTTTTTTAATTGAGGGGATTGTTTGAGATAATATATTGTTAAGGGGACAAAAGAGTACAATGGGAATAGTTTAGAGGCCAGAGGGATGGTTTCCTCATCTTATTATTAAATGTAGAGGAGGAATATACATATTAAAACTAAATCTCTGGAATAAGGTGTAGATTGCCATACTTAAATTTGGTTTTGACTTTTGAGAGGTCCTTTGGAATCAAAATTTTCAGCTGAGACACTGATAAATACTTCTAAAAGTTGAGGACTAAATTGAAGCCATTTACTGTGTTTCAATTCCCTTTCACATCAGGCCATCCCACGACGGTGTCTCTCTCAATTCATTCCCGCTGTCATCTTTTGACCGCCTGTATCAAGTTGGGAGACGCCGCCAACCTGCACACAAGATCAAACCACGTTGCATGTAGAGCACCATAAATTTCTTGCAACCGCCAAATACGTTTTCCTTCAGTTTATAATAAAGAATTCAAGATAATCCTTCAGTAAAATCGATAAGTATTTGTCATCGACGTCCGTCTCGTCTTGATGACCCCACCTATCGGTTTTTTATTCACTTTTGTTAGTACAAAGAAACATTCAGAGGAAGTAAAACTAACATATTAAAATTTGGATGCTTAAGAAATCAAGAATGACGAGTAAAAGATTTTTAAGAGCGAAGCGAATAAACCGTGAAGCTTCTTTATAAATGATAAAGAAACCATGGAGACAAAAAAATCTCGAGAGAATTCACTAAAAATGCCAATATCTAAATCAGAAACCTAATGTCGACCAAAAAATTTAAATTATTATATTTTGGTCTCTTACTTAGCTCGAATCGATGTGCGACACAATTCTTAGCTCATGACGCTAAACACAAAAGATTTGATTGGCCACTTATAAAACACGTAGTAGTTCCACTCTTAGATAAACAAATATCGTATTCGAATTTATTCTAATTCTAATACCAAGACACGTCCAAACTTTATTTCTATAAACTAATTTAGTACTAATTCTAACCTAGTTTCTGAATAACAAATCTAATTTTAAAGTTACTAAAATTCTAAATAGCTTTAGTTATCAATTTTCAATCTATTAAATACTAATCAATCACTGGAATCCCGCTAACGTGCAACTATGCAGCCAACGACTATTCTATTCAAAACGTTCTAACTTTCCACAGGAGGCGTGTCTGCATGACATACTTTGACACACAACGTTGAATAGATACCTACTCACTGCTCCCAATGCCGATCCATCCTGTGCATGTTTTCCTCTCCTTTTTTTTTTTTTTTTTTTTCCTTTGGTTAGCTAAACAGTTATGCCAAATACTTTCAACATTAATCCTACTCACTAAAATCAGTGGCGGAGCCAGAAAAAATTTTCAATGGGGCAAAAGCAATTCTAAAATTTTTTACCTACTCTTTTTTTTTTTTTTTTAGTTTTTTAAGGAAAAAAATATTCACTAACAAATACAAATGATACATATATTTCATGAAAAATATCAAAAGACAAACTCAAAATTATTAATGTAATAATAATTTTATTTCAAAAGCAAACTAAACCATTTATAATTACTCATGACGAATTTTCATATTTTGATAACGGTTTACAATTTTTTCATTTTAAACTTCATGAAATATATTTTTCTCAATATAAATAACTAAATAATTATTCATCCAAGTGTCTTCCATTTTATTTTGTAACCGATTCTTCACTATATTCATCATTGAAAAAACCCGTTTTACGATAGTTGTAACAACAGGTAAAATCAAAGACAATTTTAAAAGCATATAAACCAATAGATACACAAAACTCTAGGGGATACAGGTGAAATTACATCAAATTTTTATAAGTATCATAGAAATTTAAGGGCTCTGACTAAAATGGACATGCTATTAAAATGCTTTTCCTTTTTTCAAATCAGTTTTGGAAAGCAATGATATTTGGCATGTAATCGTGTATAATGTATCAACATTAGTCCGTTGAAAGCTCTCCCACGTATTCCTCACCAACCCTGCATTCAGTTTTTCCTTCTTTTTAACAATCGTTTCTTCTTTTTACTCATTTCAAAGCTCATTTCTGCCTTAATTTAAAATCCTACCTCCTCAAACAATGTAATAATTGCCCTTTTTCCTTTTTTGGGGGATTGGAAATCAGTACCTCCTTTGGCTACACTCCATCTCCCTGTCCATATTCTCTCTCTCTCTCTCCATTATTTCACTTTATTTCGCTAATTACACTATTGATTACTTAGTATACAGGAATTAAATGCGCAATATTAAATCATTTTCCTTTCCTCTTTAAATTCATTTTCCCATCGACCACAATTTATTCTCCTTTAAAATTAGTACCATCAATTCTATCGGTGACTTCTTTGTCAGTCAAGACCTTCCAGCCACCATAATTGTCTCGGTTTTCCATACATGCGTGTCTGGTTCTAATCGGCTCTACCCTTTCTACCGACAATTAATTGACAGACTTTTTGTGACCTCGAGTGCACTTTAAGCATTTTTTTTTCTTACTTCTCACCATTCTCTACACTTTTTTGGGCCGCTAACAACCAAGTTCACAATTTAAATTCTCAACCTGAAAGCGAGAAAAGCTTTAAGAATCCTGCACTGACACTTTAGACACTTAAGTAGCAAGTTGGTACACGCATTTCAGAAATTTCTCGTTAGGTTCTATCTTTTGGAGTTACGTTTTGTGTTCTTTTAGTAGTCAAGGTAATTTTTTTCCCCATCAACATGTCAAGAGGCAAGCTCTAGGTGAATCGATTAGGTATAGATTCATGTCCATTAGCTGAATTCAGACCAGTCCCACAGCCAAACCCATTAGTGTTCGAAAAACAAGATCAACACCGAAACACTAAGGGACCTGTAAATCAATGGATATCCTTGTGCATTTTTATTCTATGTAATTAAAAATTATGAGATTTAAAACTTATTTGACAATAGATTGAGTAGCATAAAAAAAGCTCATTTTATTTTACATTATTCTGCATAGATATGGAAAAGTTTCAGACAACTGTTATCTCAAAGTGTCAAATAATAGAACAGTTCAAATCACTTAAAAAGTATGTACATGAAATCTGAACCCTTTTTTATGAATTATCAAAGTTTTGCTACCTCCCTTTTCTTTATATTTAAAACATTTTTGTTTTCTTATTCGTGTGGCATCTTTTTTTTTTTTTTTTTTTTTTTGTTAGTTGTCTTCCACTTGCACCCTAACGTTACCAATATCACCTGTAGAGGAGGGATTTAAAAATTAAAGAAAATTAGCTTTCAAGTAAATTTTTTCTTGAACAGAGTGTAAGTAAGAGATTTTGAATTCAAGATTTCTCACTTATCCGAAAAAAAGGTGATTAAAAATAATTAAAGTTACAAGGAACGGTGATCATTCAGTGCCAGAGAAACGCCTTTGAAGAAGTGAAACAAAAAAAAAAAAAATTAGCAATGTGGTAAAATGAATTAAGATTTGCCCATTGGTGATGAATTAACATTTGCACACACTAACCCGAAAAAGGTTCTGCAAACTATTTGTAAAAAGTTCAAAATCATGGGCACACTTACACGTAACAAAGAAAGAATTAGGGTGGGTAAAAATAATGAAAAATATCTCGAATAGTGTGGTTAGGTGATGTTCTTTCATTAAGATGATTCAATTGCTTATTAAAAGAAGTTTGGAAAACGAAGGAAAAGCTGTTTTTCAAAATTCTAGTATTCTGCCCCCTCCTTTTGGTCTGTTTACCTTGTACTTTTAGACCAGATAATAGCAAAAATAAATTTTTTTAGGATAAGTTACCTCTTGCCCTCATGTGATTTAATGTTTTACCATATAACCCCTCTATAGTTTAAAAAATCTACACATAACTTTCTCATAATTTGGATTAAAGCATTACAATTAGTTTTTTTAGTTAAAACTAATGGTCAATATTAAAAAGTCAAAATCAACTAATAAATTGAAAATTCACATTTCATTACTCTTTTTCCCAAATACCAAAAAAAGAATAAAGGAAAATAAAAGATAGATGAATAAGAAATAGAATAAACCACATTATTGATGATTGCAAATATCAGTGTAGGTTTTTAAACCAAATCTTTAATGACTCCAAATCTTCATTAGTAATTTCTACTTATTTTTTTTATTGCTTTTTCTTTTTCTTTTGTATTTGAGAAAATTAAGATGTAGTATAAAAAAGTACAAGTTTTTTTAAAATCATCTCTTCTCTTCCCAAAGAAAAAAAGGGAAAAGAGAAAGAAAAGGGAAAAAGAAAAAAATGAAATAATAACAGGATGAATTTATCAATTTATTAGTTTAACTTTTAATATTGAAAATTAGTTTTAAAGAAAAAACTAACAGTAACACTTTAATTCAAACTATAAAATGACTGTTTATAGGTTTATAAATCATAGAGGATTTATATGATAAAACATCAAATCACAAGAGAGTAAAAAGTATTATAGCCTCTTTTTTAATTGATTTTTTATTCTCACTATTACATTTATCGTGATGCATTCCTTTCTAGAAGAAAATATATGATGTGACCAAAATTTTCTACTTGGCCCCTGGTGACTACTTGGCTCGTTGGATCTATAAATACGTACTTGAGTTCCTCTGGCTAATTATCAAATTAAGTAGTCATTGCAAACAACACTTAATTGATCGCAGTCCTACCCTAACTTTCCCCTAGAATATGGCCTCAGCTCAAGCTTCTCTCCCCTCAAACAACCGGCAAGAGACTGCCCGGCCATTGGCAGACTTCCCTGAAAACATTTGGGCTGATCATATCGCTCCATTTACTCTTGACAAGCAGGTTGTGCTTACTTTTCTGCTCCTATAAGCTCAGGATTGACCTCATGTTTTTCTTCATACAATTTTTATTCCTTTTCTATGTTGGAACCATGTTGTTGCCGGACCCCACAAGTTCACGATCCTTGGCATGATTGTTATCCCTTGATTAATACTCTAGCCTCCTATCAAGAGGGGAAAAAACAAAAGACAAAGTAGCTACTCTTTTTGGTAGAACTAGCGTCTGATTTGTCATACTTGGTTTGTTCTTTCCACGACTTCTTGTTGGATTCTTTACCTAATTATTTTCTGCCGTAACACCGTTGCATTTCCTTAGATTTCGGGATCTGGTTTCTCCTGTTTAGTTTCCAATTGTTCCAGTTTCGAAGCAGTATTAAGGCGATCAATTTTAACAATATGACTAAAGAAATATTTGTTCGATGCTTTCAGGAATATGAAAAGTGTGAAAGAGAGATTCAAATTCTAAAGGCAGAAGTCGCGAGCATGGTTTTGGCAACCGGAAAAACCATGACGGAGAGATTCGACTTTATAGACAAAATAGAACGACTTGGTGTCTCGCATCACTTTGACATCGAAATTGAAAACCAGCTACAAGAATTCTTTAATGTGTATGCCAACTTTGGGGAGTATTCAGCTTATGATTTATCTAGTGCAGCGCTTTAATTCCGACTTTTTAGGCAGCATGGTTTCAATATCTCTTGTGGTACGTAGCTTTATACTAGATTTGCTAATTTTTTAGTGTGGACTCACCTATTAGTAAATCTTAACACCTAATTTTTCTAACATATTATTTCCAAATAATTTCCAAACAGGCATCTTTGACCAATTCATTGATGCTAAGGGTAAGTTCAAGGAATCCTTGTGCAATGACACAAGGGGTTTGTTGAGTCTATACGAAGCTAGTCATGTTAGAACACATGGAGACAAAATTTTAGAAGAAGCTCTTGCTTTCACAACCACTCATCTGACATCGGGGGGACCCCATCTGGATTCTACTCTTGCAAAACAAGTGAAACATGCCCTTGAGCAGCCGTTGCATGAGGGCATCCCAAGATACGAGGCTTGGCGTTACATCTCCATCTATGAGGAAGATGAATCTCACAATAAAGTATTGCTGAGGCTAGCCAAGTTGGATTACCACTTGTTGCAGATGTCATATAAAGAAGAACTTTGTGAGATAACAAGGTACACCGAGACACTAGCTCTCCAATGCGCAGATCTAAGATTTGTTTATCAACACTAAACTGCAGAGATTTATATTTTACAGTACTATGCTTACATGCAGCTTTAGGTTCACTTGAAGCTTAGTAGGATTCTATGATATCTGTAGCATTTTAAATTGCCAAAAAAAATTTTCTTTCACAGGCCAGGTTGCTAACATACTACTCTCTTTCTAAGTTGAATGGAGCCTTACAAATTATTAGAATCTTATGAAACACAACCTATACTAAAAGTTAGCCAATGTAACTTTCACTCGTTTGCAATTTTATCTATCAAATTCCTTTGTGTATGACTATATTCTTCTAGTAGAAGTTTCATGAATGATTGTGCAACCTTTTTGATTTTTTTTGACAAATGGCAACGTTGTATAGGTGGGGAAAGGGATTGGAGAGTGTATCAAACTTTCCATATGCAAGGGACAGATTTGTGGAATGCTACTTCTGGGCTGTTGGAACCTTGTATGAGCCTCAGCACTCTCTTGCTCGAATGACTTTTGCGAAAGTAGCAGCCCTTATTACAATGATTGATGACATCTATGATGCTTATGGCACTCTTGACGAACTTCAAATTCTCACAGACTCTGCAGAAAGGTAGCGTTTTATGTTAGTCATCTTACACAAGTGAAGCAACCATGCTGCCAAGCATAATCCACAGAAAAATCATATTCGGAAAAATAATTGAGTAATATACTAAAAAGCTTAGTCTCACTATGTGCCAGTAAATAATAAAGGGGACCATTATCCAGACAATTTTCTCTAGCTTGATGTTGGGTGCATTTATATGGGAAGTTTTGCTTTGCTTGCAGGTGGGATGGCAGTGGAGTAGATCAACTCTCAGACTACATCAGAGCTTCCTACGCCACACTTCTGAAATTTAATAAGGAGGTTGGCGAAGATTTAGCTAAAAAGAAAAGAACCTATGCATTCAACAAGTACATAGAAGATGTACGGTACCATGTTGTTGCTAATTATAATGACCGTGTTAATATTCCAAGTGTTCTGGTACCAACACATGGAGTACTAATCAATATTTTCCTGCGTTCATTTGTACTAATCAGTGGAAACAATACATGAGGACAAACTTGACTCAGTCAAGGTGGTTTCTCACGAAAGAATTGCCATCCTTTGCCGATTACATAAGCAATGGTGCGATCACAATCGGAGCATATCTTATAGCGTCGGCAGGCTTTTTGGACATGGATAGTGCCTCAGAGGATGTTATCAACTGGATGTCAACTAATCCAAAACTTATGGTTGCTTACTCGACACATTCCCGATTGATTAATGATTATGGCGGTCACAAGGTCAGAATATGCCGTGCGCATTTATTTTGATTATAATGATTAGATTAAGACAACTCACAGAATTTCGAAATGAGATTAAGTTATAGTGATTCACGTAACTTGTTAGTTTTGTTCAAAATTCCAACAGAATATGCATATTTTTGTTAAGCAAAATAAATCCTTTTTTCATTGATAGAATTACCAAGAGAGCTTTATAGAAGAGGAAAACATCCACAATCTAGGCTACACTAATTCTATACACTTTACTGTCAAAATTTGAAAGAAAGGACAAAAAGAACAATAGCAAGCAACCTCGATCTAATCCCCACTAAAAAACCAACTCCCAATTCTCTCTGGTGCGAGGAATCTTGTTCCAAGAGGTAACAGCAATCTGCATTGCATTGACCACAGTAGCCACTACACTCGCACTAGAAGGCCTCACTTGCAGAAATAAACTCTTGTTTCTAGTCTGCCAAAGAAAGTAGACAGTCATAGAGAAAGTCAGCCTCTAGACCTTAGAGCAAATGATTGAGTCCTGCACTTCTTACACCACCACTGCAAGTCTGCAACACCACAGAATATGCACATTGATCGAGACTTCTATGTGTTTCAGGCAGTTGACCTAGTGTAATGCCGTGATTAAACTTGCTTTTAAATATGCATATCATTCAATCTCGGATGCTTAATTTTTATGAACATAACGAAATACAGCCATTTAGTTCATGTTGCTGGTTATTGTTTTACCGATGGTTAATACACTTTCGTACTTTATATGAGTAAATTCGGAATCAAACAATACTTTTTTCACTCCATTTTATTAGAGTTTTCATGTTTTCTATTTGAACTCTTCGCATTTGAAGTTCGACAAAGAAAGGGGCAGTAGCACAGCACTTGAATGCTACATGAAGGACCATAATATATCGGAGGAAGAGGCAGCCAAGAAGTTTCGAGAGATGATTGAGAATGCTTGGAAGGTTATGAACGAGGAATGCTTGAGGCCTACTCCCATTCCCAGGGATGGTCTCAAAATGCTTCTTAATATCGCACGCGTTGGCGAAACTGTTTACAAGCACCGTATCGATGGATTCACTGAGCCGCATATCATTAAAGACCATATAAGGGCAATGCTTGTGGATTTCATGTCTATTTGAGGATGGCAGTGGTGCATGTTGATGTCTTCAAGGGATTGGCAGTATCAGTTAGTGAAGTGTGTTTTTCTATTTTGCCCACTCCTGTATTTAAGTATGTATGACTAGCTTGGGATTACATGCATTGCACGTTCTGTATCTCTTTTTTTCCCCCTTTTTGTAACTTTTAATAACGTGTTTGTTTTGACAAATTACTAAGTTGAATAAAAGATCATTATGCCTTTTTACATGTTTCCCCACACACACACACACACACACACATACATATATTGATGGTATCACTAATTAACTATTCATATTTTCAATACTATAGTGATACAAATTTGATATTGTAAATGATTAGATGTTAACTGCTAGCAAAAAATAGTGAACTTTAAAATATTTTTTGGCATCTTTAGTATCGCTGTATATTTGATTTATTCAATTGGGATGAAGAGTTTAAACTTAGAGTAAATTTATTGATTAGGTTCAGTAAACCCTAGGAGCTTAACAGCTCAGTTTCAATTTTCTATTCTCAACTTTAAAATTTTGCCAGCCTTAATTCTGCAAAATAACTTATGTACTTATAAATGACTTATGTATTTTGCAATTATGTTTCGTGATTACAATTAGGTAAACATCCCTCATATAAGGTTAAAGATTAGCCGTTAAATTTTTTCAATATTCAAAATACAAAAGATTTATTATATACTGCACAACTACTAGACTAGAAGGCTAATCATCTACTTGTAGTACTTAGAAAGAAACGCCTGAATTATAGAACTACCAAGCTTAAAATTCCCAACAAGACCAAGCATCTTCTATGGCGTATACGTCATAATTCCTTGCCTACGCCTGGAAACCTGGAAAATAGAAGAATTTCTGCTGATGGATCTTTAGTTAGTACTTGGGGTTCAATTTTCTCTTTTGATCAATACTAGGATCAGGAGTGGCATCGGAGGAGAAGGGTTTACAAGGGTGCCCAACCCAAATTGTCCCATAACCCAATACACCCGGCCAACCTCCTAGAAACAGTGGGTTGGTTGACGGGGTAAATGGGTTTGGGCTTTTTTTTGCCAGGTATAGATACCGGGCTCGCTGGGGGGTCCTGTAGCTCATTGGACACTACCTGCCTTATTAGAGTTTTTAATAAAATTACTTATTATTTGTTTAAGTGTTTTTAAATATATTATTTGCAAACATAATTCAATAAGTACTTATTGTATTGGATAATGTGTAACTTGAAAATTTTTAAAAGTGTTTATCTCTTTATTTGGTTCATAATATAAGATAAAATAATTAAATTTGATGTTTTATTTTTTAAATCACAAAAGCTACTCTAAAAGCTCCAAAATTGAGCTTTTGCTAAAAGTGTTTTTTAGACCAAAAATTCCATTCCTAATTTTATAGTATGATATTCACTAATTATTTAAAAAAAAAAACTTTTAGCACCTACTAAAAGCGCTTTTGTACCAAAAGTACCACAACCCCAAAAGGGGCCACAGTCAAAATTACAATAGTTCCAAACTTGTTTATAAGTACACAACCTCCAGAAATACATAAGAAACAGGAAATAATAAATATGAAACCTACTCAAAAATTAAGAAACTACCAAAATTACAATAATAATAGAGGAAACGGAATGACAAAAAGGTGCTACATATCGCACCTGGTTGCCATGGAGGATTCGGAGTCCGATCCAAGGCCCACAAGACTATATAATTGGATTAACAAGACCGAAATAATTCAGCCCGGCAGTCGGTTTCACATCCGACGTGGATTCGGCATAAATTCTGCGAGCCTACATCTATTAGTAGGCTTTTTGTAGCCTTTGTCATGCACGTTAGGTAGGCAACTCGACCTCCTCCTCCACAAAGATCCCTCCGTTCTTGATACCTCGAATTGATGTTCTACATTACTAGTATGGTTATAGTTATCATTTGTATTATTGTTTTTCTGTCAACTTGCAAATCCTCTGTTTCTCTTCAATCAATAAAAGCAACCCAAATTTTACATTAAAAAAATGAATGGTAATGTACGGTTAGAGCTGCTTTATTTGAAACTAGACAGAAATTCCTGGAAATTAGAATAGAAAAATTACTTCCTTAAAATCTCTAGAAGAAAAGGTAATGAAGTAATTTTGTGTAATTAACTCACAATTAGTCGCCTTTCCAAATGTTTCAGAAAAACGTGAGACTCGTAGAGTGTTTTTGGATTGAGATGATTTGAAAAAAATAATAATAATTTTCTTCACAAATTTCAATCATCTTTTTATTTCCCAATCACATTTTTATCTCACATGCATCACATCACAAAAAGTATTACAGTAATTATCTCAAATAAATCATCCAAATAAACTCCTATCCAAACAAGCTCGTAGCTTCACATACATGTCTAGCGTGGAAACAACGGATGTGAATATTGAGAGATTATACGAACCAGTATGCGTGTCAGAATTTGTCAAATATAAGGGAAGGAAAGGAACAAAACTAAAACAAAGAGTGGAGTCATTTTTGTTATATCGTCTAAATACATGCAATCACACTTTTGTGTAAACAAGATGGCAGTATTAATTTAGGTTAGAACCGCTAGATTCACATGTCCAGATGTAGACTATGACCATCATGGGGTTTGAAAAAAAATATTCACACTCGGATGCTCATTGGTCTGGGTACCCAATGGATATATCTAGGTATTATTGTGCAATTAGAAATTGAATTCAAAGATAATAAGATATATAATTCAAATACATCAGAAATACAGTACAATTATCATTTTCAAATTACAAAACCAACACTGAAAAGTATTACACCTAGTAATTATGAAGTTAAAGTATGAAAGGTTATTAAATAACTCTATTTGTTGGAAAATCTTTGTGTATTTTTAACATTTAAACTTGCATGTGTTTAAACATCCTCCATATTTCTTGATCCAGGAAACATGATGGATCTGGACTGAATTTGGGCAAATGCCTAATCGATTGACATACCTATTCTCGTGTAACCTAGAGCATGGTTATAAATTCTGGCTCAAACTAAATGGTTCAATTGGTTAAACCGTTGACCAGTCCACTGCCCGTTTCAGTTTGATCCTTTGGATTCTATGAATTTTCCAACTTAATAATTAGTAGACAACACTTTAGAGAAATCTATGGCTGTCATGTGTACTGACTTTGACATGTTTCTGATGTAGATTTATCACCATCCAGTTTGCCTTGATTTGTAAAGGTGCTTCTCAAATTCTGCATAATTCATATTGAGAGAAAATAATAGGTACTTAGCGATGATTAGGGTTATCAAACTAGGTGATTAGGTGGGTCTCGACAAATTATAATTGAATGATGAGTATAAATTAGTCAGCCCATTCCCATATATACTTATTTAATGGATTGAAATAAGTGAGTCATCAATGGGTGTAGTTTTAGATGTGTGTGGGTTACTTTATCACCCATTTATGACCCAATTAAAGTTTTACTTATTTTTCTTGTACATTTTGTTTACTAAGAGAAATAATATGTCCTTCAAACTTCTCTCTGCTTATGACCGAAAATCTATGGTCTCCTTACCATGAATTTATTTTATTTTATTTTTCGTATAAAGTCTCTCCTTAGTTTCTTATGAGTGAGAGTTCTCTATTTCTCTTAGGAGTTCTTAGTGAGAAATTTTTGTTCTCCTTAGAGTTTCTAGTGATATTTTTGTTTTTTTTTTCCCTCATTTCGTTGTTATAACTTAATTGATTTTAAATTTATTTGTCAGATTTGGAATTTTTTGAATCTTGGGTCTATTTTAATAGATTTTATCATGATTATTGAAGTTTAAAATCGTTAATTAGCAGATCTAGTAATTGCAACATGCATAGAAAGAAACTGAAGTCATTTATTTTATTAGAAAATAATCTTGTATTTTTTGGGTCTATTCATAATTTTTTTAATTCTAACGTATCTGCTAAATTGTAGATATGATATTTTTAGTGCATGTTTAAAATGTTAAAAATATCATTAAGGTAATGATATAAATCATATTTTATTGAACAAATTCTAGCAATCTGTTAATGAAATTTGCTTTTGATAAAGAAAAAGAGAAATAATATATCATTATAATAAAACATAGACACATACCAAGTTAGTAAATAAATAATTTTACGCAAATAAAAAGGAAAAAAAGAAAGAAAATGCATAGAATAAACAAAATGGTGATCATAGCAAGTTTTAAATGATGCCAATTCTTCAAGAATTTAGTTTAGGAATTAACACATTAAAATCATTTGATTGACGTGTTGAAATATGCAGAGCCAAAAATTTGATTATAATGTAGTCCTTGACCTAATAGAATGGGTTATTGTGTATATAATTAAAGGTAAGGGCAAAAAATAGAATTAAGAAAGCTTGAGAGACGAATTTAAAGATAACATATATAGGATAAAAAACCCTTCTAAGTCATCGTATTCTTTAGCTGATGAAGAGAAAGTCGTGATAGACCCTCCCGTCTGGAATAGATGAAGAAGGGGGGAAAATGGCAATCTTAACACCGATTTTGTTGAAATTTCGCTCATACGATCATAGGAATTCTGTTTACAAGAAAAATTAAGGATAACCCAATTGTTAAAAATGTGTCAAAACCATGTAATGGATATTTTACAATGAATCTAGGATAGAAGAGATATTGAAACGAAAAAGGTTATAGAGATGACACAGATGGAGTAGCCTAATCTTTTGGGTTATTATGTGCGGGATGAGGGGCAGGAGCGGTCATCAGATGGACCGCTCTTGAGCTGTTTACGGCCAAGATTTGGGTCAAAAAAATTATACGGTCCACATCATCTCTTGTACCTTCTTTTTAACAACGCGTGTGGGACCCACAATAATTTGTTATAAAGTTACACGTTGTGTAAACAAAGTTACGCCGTGTGAAAATAAAGTTACGCGGTGTGTAAAATACACAAAACCGGCAGGAACGGTTGCAGGTGGTCCGAGTGGGATGAGGGGCAGGAGCGGTCATCAGATGGACTGCTCTTGAGCGTGTGGA